GGCTCTGGGTATTTTCGTAATTGAACCGAAATTAGGGTAAAATCACTTTATAAGATAGATTAAAAAAAACCCTAACTTGTATGAGACTTTGAGCAGCCGACTTTTGCAGTTCTTGGAGAGTTTTTGGTGAGATCCAAAAAGCTCAACAAGTTCTAAGTCTCGTTTTCTCGAAGTGCAAAAACCGAATAGAGATTCGAGTCCTAGCAGACAAGTTCCAATCGTTGGAATCCATCCCGAGGTGTGGATACGTGTAGAGGGCGAGGTAATCTTCCTGCCTTTCGTGATCAGACGTGTTCTTCGATTGATATAGGCCCCGGATCGATTGAGGTAAGCGTTCTAACGTTTCTACGTTTCAATAGCAGCATGGTTCTAGGGTTCTATAAAATTTTTGTTTTACTTCCGCTGCACAACCCTAGAATCGATCTCTTAGGAATTAGATTCGCTCATGAGATTCCAGGAAACCCAACAGTGGTATCAGAGCCTGGTTGCTCTGTTTTGATTTCGTAGAACCCGATCACACATGTTTTAGGATTTGAATTGTTTGAATCCATGTTTGCTATGATATCTATGCATGTTTGATTATTGAATCTAGTGTAGATTGCATGTTTCATGTTGCATAGAGTGCAGGAGTTCGAATTTTGGGTGTACAGAAGAATTCAGATCGATTTTGGGTCTGATCGGGGACGAGAACGAGGGGAAACGGGATCTGATCACGTAAATCTACCCTAGACCGTCCGTTCTGGGTACCAGACCGGACGGTCCAAGGGTGACGGACTGATTGGCACAGAACGGAAGGTTGGACCGTCCGTTCTGCCATGCAGAACGTCCGTTCTACTAGGCTGAACGTCCGTTCTGACTTCTGAAGTCGAGACCGAACGTCCGTTCTACTGGGTGTGCCGTATTATCTTGGTGAGGCAAGATGGAGAAATGGTGGTTCTCATAGCTTGAAAGTAGATGCTTGATCTAGGTGCGGTTTCGAAAATCCCTTGTTTATGTAATGCTAAGTGTGTACCTCCCATTATTAGAGCGCCTGTCAAGGCATCGATCGTCCGTAACACGGGTCATGCCAAAGCTGAGCGTGCCGGATTATCTTTGTGAGGCAGGGTGGGAAATCGTGGTTCCCACAGCTTGAATATGGTTTACCTTAGGTTAAGTCGTCAGGTTTGACTTGAGACTTAATGGTACAGATGAGACGAGTATGCAATGATATTTGATATCATAAGTCTCATAAAGGATCTAAGAATCACATTGGATGTGATTGACATTAGATGTCTACCTAAATAGCATAAGGCTGAGTGTAAAAACTTGTTCCATGATATTGACGGAGAAGTTTGGGACGTATCGGTTTTGATAGACCAAGAAAAGAAAACACAGAGGAGAAAAAGAAGAGGACGAGTAGGGGATCTTTATCGCTCTGATACCATAAAGAATTTGAAGAAGAGATGAAGATTAGAACAGAGGAGCAAGGATCGAAGGAAGAAGAACGAGAGTCATGAATATGAAGAACAAATCTGGAAAAAGAATTCCACTTATTTTTCATAATATTCACAGGAATATATTTACATAATATAGACTTTCTTAGTCTACAAGAAAAGAAAAATACGTTATAGAATATGCAATCTAGGTAGTTTTCCTTATAAATATATTAAGTTATGTCTTAATATGTCAGGTCTGGATATTACGAAGATCCTCATTCGATGCATGCGATCCTTCTCCAAAGACTCTCTTTGCTCCTGAAGGTTTGCTTGCTGGATAAGGAGCCCAATTTGTCCTCGTCTCCATTGCCTCTCTCGGTGGGTTGATCTTCTTGCATGTGTAGTTCGGTTTGTCCTTCAACAGAAAATTGATCCACGATGAACTAACTTGTCACGCCATTTTTTTTCTTGGTTCAGATTTATCCAATCCAATTCAGAAAAAATGAGTTGATCACGAAGTCGCTCACAGATCATTCTCTAATCTTTAGGGAGAAGAAGAATGACCGGAAAAGTTTGGTTTAGGAGAGATGGTTTCCGGAGGAAGAAAGCGCCGTATTAGATTAGTTCAATCAGACGAACTCAAGGGCAGAACAGTCATTTGGCTCGTGGGTTCGTCGATTTTCTCCGTGAGCCGAGAAGCATTTGCAAAACTAACTTTCTTATTTTTGAAATATTAATCGGTTATAATGAGGCTACGTAATCATATTCGGAGCCACTAAAAAAATTTGTGGGTCCCATTTTTCCGAAGTGAACCATCCACGTGTACATTACCTTATCCACAAGATGTGTGCCCTTAAAAAATATCTTGGCATCCACTGTGAAGCTGCCGCGTCATTCCCGCCATCTCACTTGTACAATCCATGGCCGTTGATCTCGTTCAGAACATTCTTGGCCATTGGATCTTTCTGGAATTTACAACTTTTGGTTTATTGATATTTTTCACTTATCTTTGAGTGTATCGCATATATGGCCCCTAGTTTAGATTATTTTATTTCGGTAGCATTTCTTACGGAAATAGCTTAGGACAGTCAGCAACTCTAATATAAAAACATAAAACGGTTAGTTATATGTAACCAATAGTCAATAATATTTGTAAAACGGTACAAGAGGACTTCAATAAATTTACTACTAAACAAAATACATCGCACATGATTAACATTTTTTAATCTTTTATCTTTTATGGTTATTTTATTTAAATTTTACGGAAATAATATTGTTTTCCTGTGTTAACGTTTATCTAATCGTTTAAGAAAAATGTATTCTCGTTGCACGTGAGCATAATTCGCGGGGGTCTTAATGCACAAGTAAAAGGTTTGGGGTATAGACACAAATTCAGAAATATATGGGGCATAATGTCATTGTTTTGTGGACACCATAATTTACGTAGTATATGGCGAAACTTATTTTTCGTATTCCATTTGTTTTCTTCCCCTACTTAACATTCCGAGAACAAAAACCGAATCAGACGAAGAAAGTTTATGTCCTCGGAACTGCGGAAGGTAGGCTACGCGATCGCTTCATAGATTTCAAACATTTCTATGGGATCTTAGATTTTCTGATACGGATCTCTGAACTTAAAGCATCATATTATAATATACTTTGAAGGTGTCTGTTGTTTTTTTGTCAGAGAGTATGTTCTTGCAATTACTTAGCAGTGTTCCATCTCTCTGTCTTGTATTTTCTTGGGTTTCTTTAATTTTTCCAGTTCCTACTTGAAATATTGGATTTTGTTTTCCCTTCCGTGGGTTTGATCGAGCGAAATTTAAGTTAGTTCTTATTTTAGTTGAAAAGCTGCAGAAATCTCGTGTTTTTATTGGGGGTGGGTGAGGAAGCGTATATTTTTATCAAATTTTGGTGTCTCACGAGCTGTCTGGATATTGATTGATATGCCTCCGGAAAATGTATTGTAATTATATGTTCATGTTGTTTTCTTGAAAGTGAGATTCTGTAGTTTTGATGTTTAAATCTCTTCCTTGAAGATCTAATTCAGATCTCCAATTTGCAGCGAAGTTAAAAATTTTGAACTCATGATCAGCACTTGACTGAATGTTCATGCCATGGCATGATCATGTTTCATCTGCGTAAATGTATGTACTAATTGAGAGTTTGAGGCATCTAGGACCGAGATTATGTTTGGCGGGTGAGCTATTACTCTTTACGTTATGTGTGATATGACTGAGAGATAAGTTTGCTGCAGTGTCCGATTCGTCAGAAGCCTGAGTTCCGGTAGATTCAGTTTCGTCTTGATGGGAGTTGTATCTGTTTCAAGTTCAGCTGCAAGATCTCCCCTTGGGTTAAGCAACAATATTTTAACACAACGGTCTGCACTGAAAAGGCCATCCGTTGTTGCGTTTAAAGCAGATAAATCCAGCCACTCAGCTTTAGTCATTCCCCGAGAAAAGATCTTGTTGCCTGCAGAGCAACCAAAGGAGAAGCGAGTACCGAGGAAAAACCCGAAGAAATCAAAATCCTCGGATACTAACGTGGCTCCTTCATCAGCCTTGGATGTGGATTACAATGAAGCAGCCGCCAGACTTGAAAGCATATTCAAACTCAGTACTGCAACCACAAGGAAAGTCCCGAGTAGGAGGAAAAGGAAGGACGATAGTGACGAGAAAAAAACCACGACAAAAACTGCTAAAATGGTTGTAAGTAACAAGACCAAGAGGCGGAAGCGTTTGAGTCTTGATAAACGGATTTCTCTGAAAAGAAACAACCAAGAGAAATCGGCTGTCGCTTCCGTGCAGAAGAAAACAGTAAAGAGACTGCAAGAAGATGAGAAGATGGATAGGCTCGTGAGGGACTATTCGGCTTCAACCGACATAGTCAGCTTGGACTGGAAGAAGATGAAGATACCTCCTGTTCTTTCCTCAATTGAGCATTCTTGGTTGTTTAAGTTGATGCAACCGATGAAGGTACTTTCCTGTTGTCACGTTCTTTAAATAAAGCTGAATAGGTAGTCGTAAATTTATTTCTGTATCTGTACGAGTGAAAAAACAAAAAGGGTTCAAGTCAATTTAACTGAATATTTTCATGGATTTCGTCTCCATAATCAATGTCTCTGTTCGCTGTCCCATGCTCCATTTGTCGCTTGTTACATTGTTGTAGGCTCTTCTTCAAGTTAAAGATGAGCTGCAAAAGAACCTGGGAAGAGAACCGACAGATGCTGAAGTAGCTGACGGCGCCAATATGAGCGTGGCCGAAGCAAAAAGGCGAATTGAAATCGGTAGAGCTGCAAGGAATAAACTTATCAAGGTGAGAATGTGCATAAAATTTCCTGAAATATCATATACCATGTCAACGATCTAAATCCATTCCGAATCCATTTGGAAAGGATACTGTCTTGGACTCGACTCACCGAATCATTATTTTCCCTGTGTTACAGCACAATCTCCGGCTGGTTTTGTTTGTGATGAACAAATATTTCCAAGATTTTGCAAATGGACCGAAGTTCCAAGACCTCTGTCAAGCCGGAGTGAAAGGGCTTATCACAGCAATTGACCGCTTTGAGCCAAACAGGAAGTTCCGTCTATCAACATATGGTTTGTTTTGGATCAGACATGCCATTATACGCTCAATGACAACTTCGAGCTTTACTCGTGTCCCGTTTGGTCTCGAATCGGTACATACCCACCTCTTGACGTACTTCTTGAGATATTCACTTTTTCAATAATCAACTACGAATCGCTCCTTTGCAGAGGCGTTATAGTTTTTCCTTCGTTGAATCATTCAGGTAAGAGTAGAAATCCAGAGAGCGAAGCTTGAGCTGTTGTTCGAGCTTGGAAGAGTGCCCACAGGGAGTGAAATAGTTGAGAGACTCGGGATATCCCCTGAGAGGTACCGTGAAGTAGTGATAGCTGCAAAACCGGTTCTTTCGCTTAATTCGAGACATGCAGTTACCCAAGAAGAATTCATCGATGGTATTACAGATTTTGATGGTGTCGGTTCTGATAACCGGAGACAACCTGCTCTTCTCAGGCTTGCTCTCGACGATGTAGTAAGTGCACATCCTTAAATTACCATTCAGTTCAAACTCAGATCCTCAGCTTTGATAGTGCTTGTTTCTGGTTCAAGGTTTAGTTATACAACACAGATGTTACTCTAGGGATGTAATTATAGTTGATCTAATTTGGAACTCCCGACAGCAACTTGTGAGAAAACAAGGGTCTGTGGAAAATGTTAGAGTGATAATATTTTATTGGGTGAAAATATTGGATCATATGCAACTGTCCGGTGTTCCATGCGAAGAACATATCAGCATTACAGAACTTGATTTTGTACAATCTGAAACCACTTCCTCGTTTATCTTGCCATATCCATGACGAGGTGAACAGTATATAAAATTTCTGTCTTATCGCTCATATTATTCTTATGCTACAGTTGGATTCGCTGAAGCCGAAAGAGAGTTTGGTGATTCGCCAAAGGTACGGTCTTGATGGAAAAGGCGACAGAACACTGGGTGAGATTGCCGGAAACCTTAACATCTCCAGAGAAATGGTGAGAAAACACGAAGTTAAAGCCTTGATGAAGCTCAAGCACCCTGCCCGTGTTGATTATCTCCGTCGCTACATTGTCTGAGCCCAAGCGAACCAAGTGGCTCATGTCACTCATCGTATAACCATTGGTATACTTATGTGTTATTATTGTTTGTGATAACCGGGGATTACTTCCGGTGTAGCTGTATACTGAACCGATACCGAAAATATAATACTTGTAAAGTTTGGAAACCAGGTATAGATTTTTCACAATAATTGAATAGGTTTTGCGTACGGAACCGTGAGAAATACGTTTGTATTGGATCGGTTTGAACGGTTGAGACCGGTTAGATTGGTGCAGAAGATTCTTCAAACAGTTGACGGTTGACGACTCGGAGATCAGAAATTTACACAAAAGTTTCATATAAATATAGAATTATTGAAATTTCTATCAAAATAAATAAACTCTTCAAATATTGCAATAAATCTATACTTGTTCGGATTATATGTTAACACCAGATAAAAATATGTTAAATCACCTCTACCACATAAAAAAACCCTATTTTTTATATAAATAATGTATATATATATATATAAATACATATATATGCACATATATATACACATGTATATATATATTTATTATTGGTTTAAATGTTCTACAAAAATCTACTATATAATAATCATTCCGACTGTTTGCGGAACGTGAACGATCGTTTGTTATGGGATGTCAAAAATACATCGGTAGAAAATATTCTACTTAGAGGGAAGCACCCGTTAGAGCGACCACTACAAAAAAACTGTGATTTTCCAACGAATTTGCAACGGATATAACCGTTAGAAATCTGTTGGAATTTTCAACGGTATATCAACGAATATAAAACGTTGGAAATTTTTTTTGTACTTTCCGACGAATATCTTTGGAATTGACAACCAAAAATTCCAACGAACATCCGTTATATTTTGATACATTTTTCAACGGATAACCATCGGAAATTTGAGGTAAAAAGTCCAACGAATATCCATTGGAAAAAGTCGAACTTTTGATCACAGTTGGAGAATTCCAATAGGTATCCGTTGGAAAGTGTACAGCTGAAGGTTCCAACGGACATCCGTTAGAATGTATAACGGTCGAAGTGTTCCAACGGATTTCTAACGGATGTCCGTTGGAATTTTCTTCTACTTAAACCCTTCACCCATTATTCTCTCAAACCACTCTCCAAATCATTCTTCTGCTATCCTTACATCGAAAATTCTCCAAAAAATATCTTCTTCAACAAATCCGAATATTCGTTCATCCCAACAATGGATATATGAAAGAGTTTATCCGATTACAAAAGAGGTAATGTAAGAATTTATTATCGGTTTGTTGCAATTTATGAATCTTGCTTCGATGCAGCCATTGTGCCAAGAACGTGGAAAAATATTATTTCCGTGTATAAGCTGTCGAAAATTTAAAATATCGAAGTCAAGAAATTGTTTGTAAATATCTATTTCGAAGGGGGGTTGTGGATGACTATTACATTTGGCGATTCCATGGAAAAGAAGTTCGGACAACTACAACGACGGGACATCTGTCGGCTAATCAGAGGTATGATGTAGTTGAAGTTTTAAGAAATTCTTGTGACACCCGTAATCCGTGTACAGTATACGGGTTGTACCATATAGACGATATAATAATAAAATAATAAACCGCGCAAGCGAGAATACGAAATCCAAAAACATTTTTAATCAAACCAAAGTAAGCAGCTGAAAATACAACGCGATCAGTATCGGAAAACAACACATGTCCGAATAGTCATAATACAACCGTACAAAATGCGGGAATACAAGTTCCATAGTCCAAAATACAAATCCCGTACATGATGTTGCCTCTCTCAGGTCGTGGTCATCCGAGTGCACTAGGCGTAATCCTCGTGATCTGAAAAACATAAAACCACGAGGGCTAAGCACTGCTTAGTGAGTAGTCCAGGTTGAATCCGGAAATCCCGTTCTCATTGAGAACGGTACAGTCGACATTTCCATAAAACACATGCAATAAGCAATAATACATAACAAACACATATATAACAACACAATCACGCCCGTATGGAGTCCACCATAGGGTTTAGCCTTAATCCCTAGTCAAGTCAGCATGACTAGGAGTGCCTCCATGCACGTTACTCTCGTAACGTTGGCCGTCGAATCGGATCTCACGTGCCTGTCATGTCTCGTGACCACCAATGTCAAGTCCATGACACAACGAAATGATAATCACACCCGTGTGGAGTCCACCATAGGGTCCAATATACCCTAGTCAAGTCCATGACTAGGAGTGCCTCCACGTCCGTCAAGTCCATGACGTTGGCCGTCGCGTCACACGCGACTATATGCGTTTCAAACGCCCGTCAAGTCAATGACGATGATGATTGCATCGCACAACCATCCACAAACACAATCATGCTTGGCTCGCACCGCACGAGCAAGCTCCACACATGGCACACAACATGTATATATTTCCATAGTACTGATCTACCGTTTAACGTCATGCAATAATACCCGCAAACAATCATACAACGAGTCTCTCTCCTCTCAATATCACATTCTTCGCTTGACACGTAATCGTCTTTGCAATAACCGGAGCGATTGATCTCAATCGTGTAAACTTGTTCTTAGGTGGTGGTTTGGTCCGACCATGACCATGTCTGGTCAGGTCCGGACCAACCCCTTTGGTCCTTCTTTTTCCCGGTCGAACGAGTCACGTTCCTCTTTTTCTTCGAGCCTGGTCCGGCAGACCAAGATTTGGTAAGCCCCGGACCAGCGCTCCTTCTCCTTGGTTCGCTCAGAGCTTCTTGGTCAGTCGGTTTGCCGAGAAAACAGGTCTGGTCCGCGGACCGGAATTTGGTCAGCCCCCGACCTGTTGGGTTTCCTGGGATCTCATGAGCGAATCTAATTCCTAAGAGATCGATTCTAGGGTTTGTGCAGCGGAAGTAAAACAAAAATTTTATAGAACCCTAGAACCATGCTGCTATTGAATTCGTAGAAACGTTAGAACGCTTACCTCAATCGATCCGGGGCCTGTATCAACTGAAGAAGTCGTTTGATCACGAAAGGCAGGAAGAATACCTCGCCCTCTACACGTATCCACACCTCGGGATGGATTCCAACGATTGGAACTTGTCTGCTAGGACTCGAATCTCTATTCGATATGTGCACCGAGAAATCTCGAGACTTAGAACTCGTTTTTGGATCTCCAAAAACCCTCTCTTTTCTGCCAAAAGTCGGCTGCTCAAAGTCTCTCTCGAATTAGGGTTCTAATCACTTTCTTATAAAGTGATTTAACCCTAATTTCGGTTTAATTTTCGGAAAACCGGAACCTGGAACGGACGGTCCAGAATTGCACGTGGACCGTCCGTTCCAGTAAGGCAGAACGGACGGTCTACGTTGTGCGGACCGTGTCCGTTCTATCCTCATAGAACGGACGGTCTGCGTGTTGTCGTGGACCGTCAGTTCTGCTTCCCAGAACGGACGGACCACGCATCCGGACCGTCGGGTCTCGACCCGTCCGACTCGGTTTTCCGTCGTTTTCTCTCGTGCTTTTGTCCTTCCCTGCGTGTGTGACCCTGTAGGCTCATTCGACATAGCAGTATAACCCAAAATCCCTATTTCGGGTATACAAGTCATAGGCGGTCTCTAGCAAGACACTATGACTACCTATCTCGAATAGAGTTGGTTCGTGATCTTACGAACACCAGTGATGATTCCGGCTGATGATCCTTTTGTATCGCGATATCATACGTCGAACATAAGGCATGGACAAGCCACCTTATCTGATTCGACTGCTTTCTCATTCACTGAGTTCGACTGTCTGAAATAGACGACGTTCGTCTATAGTGCGACCACACATTTCTACAGTCTCGCTCACACGAGGGGCCCAGCGATATCTCTCTCTTTTACGAGAGGTACAAATCCCGTCTTGACTATCTACAATCCAGTACATGATTCGTTTCGTACCTGATACACGCCTTTATAGTTCACCTGTTACGCAGAACGTTTGACGTATTCAAAGCACACAACTCCTCATGTTGGATTCTGTAGATATCTCAGGTCTTAGGATCCAATCATGGAACCGTCATATGAGATTCAAGTCATGACGCTAGTCCATGTGACAATCTCATGTGGGTCAATCCAGTATTCCGTTCTCCAACGAATACCTATGATCGTGATCGTATCCAATACCTATGATCATCGCTATGATCATCAATCACACATCATACTAGTCTTATTATGTCGTTATTCCCATAACGACACAAGACTAGGGAGTTTAGTATCATTCATAATGATACACGGATTTCATAACAGATCTAGTATGCAAGAACATGTAATGAATCAAATACTCTCATAAAACCATAGAAAATATCAATACATCGAATGTATCTGAACAAAGCTCATAATCAGTACATCATAGAGCACTAAACCAACAATCTCCCACTTGCTCTAATCATGAACTGCTAAACATCTAATGCCCATATCCCTAACATGACCCTCATGCTTCGACGAAGGGAGAGGCTTCGTCAACAGATCGACAATGTTGTCATCTGTCGACACTCTGCAAATGTGCACGTCTCCTCTGTCTATAATCTCCCTGATAAGGTGAAATCGTCTGAGTATGTGTTTGGATCGTTGATGGGATCTGGGTTCTTTCGCTTGTGCGATCGCTCCATTGTTGTCACAATACAGAGCAATGGGGCTATCAGCACTCGGAATGACACCCAAGTCACCAACAAACTTTCTGATCCAAACAGCTTCCTTTGATGCGTCCGACGCTGCAATATACTCAGCTTCTGTAGTAGAATCTGCAACGGTCGCCTGCTTGGAACTCTTCCAGCTAACAGCGCCTCCGTTCAAACAGAAAACATAGCCAGACTGCGATCTGTAGTCATCCGGGTCTGACTGAAAACTAGCATCGGTGTAACCTCTTACAGCGAGCTCGTCTTCCGACCCACCGTATACCAAGAACACATCCTTAGTCCTTCTCAAGTACTTCAGGACGTTCTTGACGGCGATCCAGTGCGACTCACCTGGATCTGACTGATATCTACTCGTAATGCTCAACGCGTAGGATACATCCGGTCGAGTACAAAGCATGACATACATGATGGATCCAATTGCCGAAGCATATGGAATCCGATCCATGCGTTCTCGCTCATCAGGTGTCGTAGGACACTGACTCTTGCAGAGAACTGTGCCACTGCTCATCGGTAAGGTTCCTTTCTTGGAATCTTGCATCTTGAACCGTTTCAAGACCTTATCGA